ATTGAAGGCTCAGATAACTTGCAGGAAGAAAGGTGCACTGTTTGGAGAGTGAACACAGTATGCAAATCCACCAGCTTTGGTGATTGTCCACTGCCACATAAATATTTCCACTGCTATCTATTTTTCAATCATTTATACAGTTTTTAAAGAAGTTGATGCCATATTTGAGCAAAATTTGTGGTTTCTTTGTGGGGAAGAATGGCAGAAGTAACCATATGTGCTGCCTCCTACAGAGTGCCTCACTGCTTTTTGAGGTGGATTTTATTGTGTTCCTACAGGGGAAGGTCAAGTGCAAATCCAACAGAGACACTCAGTGTGGGAGCAATGGGTGCTGGGTGTGTTGGGTTCAGGAAGTTTTGTGTAATTGCTCAGCAGGTGAAGGCCTCTGGCCAGTCCTCTGGCCCAGCTGTCAGAAGAGTGCCTGATTTAAGGTCAGTGCATCTTTTGAAGAAGGTTGGGAGTACTGGAGGGGGCTGCTGTGTCCCAGCATAGCGCTCCTTCAGCTCACTGCATTCTCCAGTGCCACGTCTTTGTAGCAGGAGATATCTCTGGCCCCAGGACCACGCTGCTCTAACAGCAGGATGAGATACCAGTGCGTGCACCTCATGCTGATCGAGCACACAATGAAATTTCCCTGTTAGCTGGGTTTTCTGTTGCCTTCATTTTGAGTTGTAGCGCTGGCATTTCCTAAAAGGATGTTGTTCCATAGTGGGATGAGCCCAGATAGCTGAATCTGAGCAAAATGTGTCACCATATTGTGTCTCTGGGCTCAGACAAGGACGGTGCACTCCTGGCAGCCAAAGGGTCTGGGAACATCCGTCTCTGCCTTGAGTTAAAGGGGTTTTCCAAATGAAGCTGTGGATCTGAGAGACGATCCACCAAACGGGTTGTGACTCAGTGCTGCATCACCTTTCCAAGCAGGGCTTTGGGGTTTCATCCTGGGAACTCGACGCTCTGTTTGCCACGGCTTCTGTTTTTATCTCTCTGATTTCCCTTCCAGCTATAGAGGGACCGATTCCAGTTGCTGCTGAATAGAGTAAGGATTTCAGAACTGAATGCCGCTGAAGTCATTATTTACATTTTTAATTTCCATCACAGTAAATGGAGTTTAAGAACTGCTTAATCAGCTGCTTAACCATTTGTGCTCCCTTACAAATGAGAAATTTCACTAATGTTAAAAACAAAACTCACCATATTAATGTTCTTAAGTGTGAGTCTGCAGTGGCAATGTTGCTAATTCTAACATTTCTCTTCTGGAAAAGCACAGAGGTGCACACGAGTAGAGATTAATAGAAGATGGGAGTTCTGTATCCTGAGTTGTAGCCCCGTGGTTATTTGTGAAATGTTGGCACGGGATTAAAAATCGCAGCTTTGGTACAGAACTGTCCTGCAGCATTAAGCACAGCTCAGAATGGTCTGTGTGTGCCCCAACTCTGGAGGTATGGGTTGTGAAATCAGCAACTCGAGAGTAACCCACACTCTTTAAAATCACTTCAGGAGGAAAATATGTCTTTCAAAAGTGCAAATATTGTGATTAAATGATTAGAAAGTATTCTTAATATTAGTAATACAGAGTTGACTGAAGTCCTGAAGAAGGTAATGGTTAGGGTTAAGCTAGCATAGGGAGAATGTTTTATCCTCTTGGTTTGGTGCTTATGCCATCTGCATTTGCAAAGCTCCCACCTGTAGTTCAAAAGGCTCTGTAACAAAAATAAGTTCCCTGAAAACCTTTCCCACCCTCCACACCTACTGATGTGCCCTTGAGGTTCAAATATCGATGGTCGTTCTTTTACATTTGAAAGCAGATGAATACATTGCAGAGCGGGCTGTAATAAGCAGAGCTTTGCTGTTACTGGAATGGAAGTTTTAGGACTAATTAACCACGAATTTAACAAACGCCGGAGAGCAGCTGGGGAAATCAGGTTGTTGCTCAGCAAACGATTTCTAGGGAGTGACTTTATCTTTGTAGTCCTCCAGCAGTTCACATGCACTACGTTTTTAGCTCTTAAGGAGGAACAGGGATTGGTTACTTCTTTTGTCAGTGTTTTCTTATTTTTGGCATATAGAGACTGCAGAGTAAGGATCAATTCTGCTATGCATTTCGGTTCTTTTATTTTCTTGTCCTCTCCTATTCTTTATTTGAAAGACGAGCTTCGTTCTCACAGGGAAATGCAAGGAATTCCTTGTAGGTGGTATTGCAGGCAGGGTTATCTCGCAGCATCTTCCTTCCAGTCAGATGTGTCAGCGCCTGTGGTTCCATGGGCCTTCTGACCATTCGGTCGCTTTTGAAGATGTACCTTAAGGTCTTTGCTAAGTGGTGCAGAATTCTAATGCAAATCTGTTCCTTTGGCATTTGTGCCTGCATCTGCCTTCAGTCTAATACTGAAAACTACCAAAGTCTCCTCCCTCCCTCTTTGATGGGAGTTGAGCTTCGCTGTCTTTGTGAGGGGCACCTCTCATTTCTTAGTATTTAAAATGAAAACGAGGGGTCTTTTCTAAAAAGAAATAAGTAAATTCATTTTAAAGCAATTGCTGCCCTTTGTATTTTAGATGATGAATCAGTAAGTCACAGAATTTTATTGAAAGAGTGCAAATAACCAAAACTAAGTCACTGGGATGGGAGTTCAAATCTTATTTCTAGTACTGGGGCTGCAGTGAAAGTTGGTTTTCTAGTGCCATTGTGCTTCATTGTATTTGTTCTTTTAAATCAATGCGGGGTTTTTTTTTGCTTTTTTTGCTTTTTTTTTTTTTTTTTTTTTTTGGTAGTATTAAAGCTGATTGAATGTGCAAAGAAACAAAGGTCCTTATGTTCAGGATTTTACAGTTCTTCGAAATAACTCTGATAGAACCAATGTCACACCCTTCACTGTTACTCATGCCCACAAAAGAGAAAATGCTGAGTACTTTTAGTGGGTAAAAAATTGAAATAGTGGCAATGCACAGAATCCCTCCGAGCCATCCAACTTGGTTTTATGATTTAGTTCTGTTGTCTAACACTAATTTGGCACCGACTTGGTTCAGCTTTCAAAAACAAAATAATGGAGAATTTGAATAACTTCTGTTACTCATTCATCTCTCACAGCTCTCGTACTCTTCCTTTCATATTCATGCAAAATTTCAGAAATAAAGTATTACCTTTCAGGATCTTTCCTGGGCTTCCATTCGCAAAAGGAAAGAAACCTGAAGCATAACTGCTGTGTCCAGCGGTGACTCGTAGCGATCAGCGAGTCATTCCGAGAACATTGCACCACAGACACAGTCAGATTCTGAAGGGTGGGTTCCGAAAAGCTGGGAACCGTTTGTAGATGTCGACATGCTCTAATGCAGAATGTGTCCTCGATGTGCTTTAGTTTCAATCTTTTGTTTTTTTTTGGCTGAAAATGTACCGGGCCGGGCGCAACATTTACTCACCCTTTGGTATCGGCGTACGGTGAATCATGGAGGACAGAATCTTCTTCAGATAAATGTGTTTAAAAAACAATTTGTCCTGTTGGCAAGTGGAGGGAATAGAGTGGGGAGAGCGAGTCGTTTTGTTGCTTCACTTTGTGCTTTTTCATAATTTTTAAAGATTAGAAAGCTCTTACTTAGGGGTTGGGATTTAACGTGGAAAAGCAAACACTGTGTCAACATGGGAGGCTGGGGGAAATGACTGCAGGGGTCTGGATCCCCCCATCGTGTAACTCAGAGAGGAAATGATGGTTTTTAGCCCTGTCTGCGTGTGGCTCAGTGAAGCAGATGTTACTGACTTCTCCCTGAAGTGGTGGTGTAAAGACTCAGAACTGTAGCACTGAATCGTAGGTGACTTTTGCAATGTAGAAGACCATATTGATTTCTTTAATAATTAAAAAAAAAGCTGATGTTTGGCAGCAGTGGGAAATCTCCCACCTTAGCTGCTATTAGCAGTGTTGGTGTCCACACATGGCTCAGGTTGTGCCTGGCTCCACTACACCAGTTGCTGCTGGTGGTAATTTGTGCTGTGTAACGCTTCAGCTTTTTTTTTTTTTTTTTTAATTAAAGTGTGACGACAGTTTCTTTAGCTCCCCAGTCCTCTTTCTTCATAGAGTGGTGTTCAGATCTACAGGAAAATGATCAGTGCTGGATGTGGATGGGCTGTGTGTTAGCAGGATGGAAGTCGGTGGCCACTCTGTGCAGCATTGGCACCTTTGTGCTTTGGGAGAGCGTTCGCAGCTCCGAAAACCTCTTGTCAACCTTTATAACGTGAATGTAGGAACAAGGTGTTCAGTAACGTATTGCAGTTTTTGTGCGAGTCATCTGCCATAAAGCATGAAATGATTCAGAACAGGGTTCATAGTTCTCTCTTTGTTCCTTTGTTAATCACTGACCGATGGGAGGAGCCTGCAGAATTTGCTAATGCATTCTTTCTGGATAAGGATGACGCACAGATTGTCCTAATAAGGACTTAGTTTGAGAAAGGGGCCGTCTCCTTTGAGGAGATAGGGGCAAGTCATAGGGCGAGCAGTTTCTTTTTTAACTGAGGGATGACACAAGCACAAGTCATTTCCTTATTAATCGGTTCAAACCAGTTCTTACAGGAACTGCTGGTGATAAATGTGGGACTTCTGAGAAGTCATTCATTTCATTCTCAGCACCACATCAGCGCACAGCCCTGGCTGCCCTCTCCCAGGCTTTAAGGAAACTTTGCTCACTGCTTCTTTCTGTGTTACCAACAGTGTATTATCACTGATTCGCTCTGAAATATTTTTCTTTTTAAACACTTTGAAGCTCTGGGGAAACATGTCCCTTCCAGAAGTATCAGATTAAAGATAAAATACACTTTATTTTGTGCTTATCTGCTTTCCCAAGCAGCAAAGCACTTCTGAGCTGTAGCTCAGTTGGAACTTTGTCCTATTTGGGTCAAGGTGGTAAGTTTTGTTGTTTGTTTGTTGTTTTTTTTTTTTTTAATATGTATGGGTTTTTTTTCTGTTTTTTTTTCTCCTCCTCTATTTTGTCTTGTTGCCTGGGAAAAAATATTGCATCAGTGCTATTCCAAGTATAGGTCCTTCTCTTCAGAAGCCATTTCAAGAATATTTGGAAGCTCAGAGGATAAAACTCCACCACAAACACGACGCCGGTGTGCCGCAGGTAAGAGCCTCTCTGCCTTCCCCATGAACTTTTCCTCTATCTGCCTTCTCCCTGGGTCAGCTTTGCAGGTTTAACTCTTTATTCTTTGTGAAGGGTTTTGCAGTGGCCCAAGAATTAGCTAAATATTAATTTAAAAAACAACCTGGGAATAAAGTAATAAAAGATTTGTATGCAACTGGCTGCAAACCTCCTAAATAACATAGGAAACAATAAAATAAGACCAATGGCTCATCTTGTCTCTCTGTTAGCATGTCTATTTTGAAGGAGAAATAGAAGCAGAAAGAAGTTATGCTTACACGAGGAGTGATGGTAAACTGTGTCAGCACCAGTGCTTGGGAGGACAGTGGGTTCTGTCACTTAATGGCCAGTGAGAGAAACAGAACCCCCGGGGGTCAGTGTCCAAAAGGGAGAAGAAAGATGCAGTGTTTGGTGTTGGGACAAAGGGGCAGAAGAACCCTTTCATACAAAGCAGTGTAAAAAACCAAAAATTTTTAGTGGCGATGGAGCAAGTTTGTAACTTCAACACGAGCTCCACTCACCCAAGCCCGTTAAGCTAACTAATTGATCAGTAGTAATTAGAGCTCTTATAAATGTTTTCTGACCCATTTCTTAATAGAAAGAGGTTCAATTAGGGAGAATCAAGCTGGGATAAGTAGATGTTGAGATACCTCTCATTTGCATTGATGTGACTGTTGTGCAGTGCAGTGCTGCCCTCCTTTGACAAAAAACAGCAGTGAGGAGCAGTAGGGAAACGCAGTGGGACTGTGGATGTCATCGTGTGAACATTGAGATGAAGAAGAATCTGATATTGATGGGAAGACGCCCAGTTCAGGAAAAAACATTGTTAACCAGTGGCCTTATTGTTTTGGTTGCAATGAACAAGAAAACTGGCAGTCGGGGGTTAATTTGTTAATTCCAAACTCTCTGAACTGTTAGCAGAGACCAGCCAACACTGGGAATAATGCATCACTTCATCAGCGCAGGGTGAGAAAGCAAGGGTTCGTTGTCTGCCCTGCAGTGTGGGTGACAGTCCCCAGTGCCTTGTCTTTCCAGGGACCAAACTCAGCTGTACAGATAGCTTGGTTCCTGTTTTCAATTTGATAGATGAATTCTAAAGAGATGTTCAGGTTTTTCCCTTTCACTTATAAAATGGAGAGAACTGCCTTTGTGCTGTCCACTAATCTCCGTTTTCCTCCTTGTTCTGTTTTTTCTTTGTCGTCTTCAGGGTGAAAACTGGCTGTCGTGGATGTTTGAAAAATTGGTGATTGTCATGGTTTGTTATTTTATCTTATCCATAATCAACTCCATGGCCCAAAGCTATGCCAAAAGGCTGCAACAGAAGATGTACTCCGAAGAGAAAACCAAATGAGCTTGGAAAAAGGACTGGGAATGGGCTTTAGCAGACACAAAAAGTGACGCTTCTTTCCATACGTTTAAAATTCAGCATTATTCAAAATGGGGGAAAACTTTTTAACATCAACTTTGAACTAAGGCAGGTTTTTATTTTACTTTGAAAATAATCTGGCTATTAGAACAGACGTTTCACTGACAACTTAGTGGTGTTAAGGTAAGGTATGAAGGCTTTATACGTCTGAGCTGTATCATATGGCATGGACAAGGTGATGTTAAATTGTGCTTAACACAGATGTTGTCCATCCGAATTTACTTCCAAAACCAATGGTTTAGTATTTCCTGATTTCATTTCAGACTGACCTAAGGGTAACCTTTATTTTGAAGGGCGGCTCTTTTGCTTTTTTACCTTAACTTTCAAAACCATCAGGATGTATATAAATGAATACAAATTGGATAAAAACTGTTGCATGTCCCTCGTGGTAAGGTTATTCCATTTGAATTCTCCGGTGTCCCATTGCATTGCACGTGCTCTCGGTTGGAAAAGCCGCCCTTTAATCGTCACGATGTTAGCAGAGATGATTGATGTCAAAATGCTGAAGCTGACATTTTTTTATTCTGTATATTTAGAATGAAGTTAAGATAAAACTTTATAAAGTCATCTTTGATCATTCCAGAATTTCTTGTGTCGGTCTTTTTAAGCTGTTTCTTTTCCTTTCCCCTTTTGTATGCTGAGTTTCGTCTTTATTAAGCCTTAAGCCCATGGGTTGCATGCTTTACTCATCCTTCCTGCACAAATGGTGCTGAAACCACCTTTTATTCTTTTTTCCCTTTTTCTTAAGAACTTCTTATCAGAACAAAGTAGAAGGTGTATCACTGGGTGAAGTGTGGCTCACTGCTTAAAATAGGCGAGTTTAGCTATGATTGTTAGCATGAATTCTTGGTTGATGTTTGCCACTGATCACAACATCCTGAGCTGTGAAGGAGAAGAGAAGGGGGAAGTATAAAGATTCCAGATTAACACAGAGAATTGGTGTCAAACCCAGCAATTGTATGTGGAGCCATAGAGAGCCTCACACTGAGGTTTGAAAATTCAGACGCTTATAAAATATTGCTTTAAGTCAGTGTTCTGATTTTAATGTATGTGAACGTAATCCATATTAAAACAGATCTCTTCCCTCTTTTGAAAATAGACAGCCACACCACTGCTGCTGTGTATGTATTACTATTCCTGTGATTTTAGAACTGTTGGTTTTGATTTTTAGCCTAGGGGGGATTAGGAATTAATTTGACTTTCAGTTAGCATTATCAACAGGTGGCACACAAGCACAAGGCAGGCTTGATTTTGCTCTTGTTTGGGTTGTATATTCACGCCTGCATTAGGTTAGGGCAGATCACGAGCAAGGTGTGAGAATCAGGATTTTGTTCAATCCTGCATGAATGTCCTCCTGTGTTGCCAGCCGTCGTGACATCCCCATGGCTGTACCATCCTGTCGGATAGCTTATCAGACTGATGTTGACTGTTGGATCTCATGGCAACAACAGTCGGTAGGCTGTCTGACATTTTGGTATCTCTCATCTGACCGTTCCCTCATCCATCTCCAGCTGTTTTCATTGAACATCAGTGGCATATAAATGTTTTTCAGTTGTGATGGAAATGAGCACACCAGCCATGCAGTGTGGCAAGCTGCATCCGAAGCATCTCTTAAAGCTCCATCTCGGTTGTGTGTCAGGTTTGTAACGTTTATCTTGCATGCTTCGTGTATAACTTCAAACATTATTGAGTGAACAGGGAGGCTTTAAATATGGACTTTTCTTAATGTAGCCATGTTACATTTAAATATTTGAGCCCTGGGTGCTGGGAGGTAGTTAAAAGCAACAGGAGGGGAGGCAGCATGAGGCCATTAAAAGCAATAAGGCCCTTCATTTGCCTCTGCTGAGTTTTAAGAGGTGGATAGTTTCTCTGAATTCTTGGCCCTAATGGCTCTTTTGGGTCTAAATAAGCTCTTTGACAATTAAATAGCAAATAACTTGTTCTAATGCAATACACATTCACAAAATAATAATAAAAAATAAGCTCTTTTTAGTACTGTGCTTTTTTCAGTCTGCTAAAAGTTTAATTTTGCACATTGTAATAACTCGGGTCAGCAGCTCATGGCTGTTTGTTTCATTTTTCTTCAGCATTTTTGGGTTAGTGAAACAGCTGTTTGCAACCTTTCTTGCTTCTGTGCCATTGTTTTTTCCCTCAAATTTGCCATTTGTTCATAGGATGCTGTTGTTTACTTTGCAGTTCCAGTAGTGTCTTAAGGCCTTTCGTAGGAGTCACTGAAGTTTATGCCATCTTGAGGGCATCTTGAGATTGTATGAATAATTAAAAAGGGATGGAAGAAGCCCCTTGAGCCAATAAATGATAACTTTCTGAATACCCTAGCAGTCTCCTTGTAATGATGCCTTTGCCCAGCTTCCCCCCTTTTATTTCAGTCTGTTTGCACACTGAAAAGTAAAGTGAGAAATATAAGCATACAATGCTTCATGTCACGTTTACATGACTGCTCAGATTAGTTGTGCCGTTGTTTTGATTCTTTCTGAAAGTATTTAACAGAGAACTGCTCGTTCTCCTTCCTCCTACCTTTTCAGCAATGGGAGATAGCAAAGTTTGCTAAAAGTTAATACAAGGTAAGGTTGTGAAAATGGAGAGTGCTATGTTTGCTTAAATAAATAACAGATTCCTCGTGTTTATTCCAGCTGGATTGTTTCCTTTTTTTGTGTACTGAATTTGGTTACAGTTTGAAATTTGTTATCCCATTTTTGTGCTCTCTGATGAGTGTGAAGATAGAAGTTGTGTTTGCAGTGTATTTTGTGGCTACAGAGAAAGGCCCAGAGCCTTTCACATCTCATCGGGACGCATTTTGCTGCCTTAGCCCACAGTTTTGTCAGGAATACTTTCAGCTGTGCACTGGAAGCAGTCAATCATGGAGTTTGATGTGGGTTAGGCCCAAAGTGAGCTCTGTTTGCAAAAAGCAACAGCCTCAGTAGCTTCACCGTGCTCTGTCTGATGGATAAGTTGAAAAGGTCACACTTCTCCATGCTAAATGGAATCACCAGTCCCACTCTGCTCCATCACAGCAAACAGGAACTGCTCCATCTGCAGTTCCCTACCTCCATCCCAGTGGTTCCCAGTACTGCAGCAAGCTGAGCTTGCCCTGCTGCTGCTTGTGCTGGCAGGCACCCATCACTGATACTTGAGGGGCTCAGTGCTGTTCCTCAGTGTTTCTCTCTGCTGTGTTTTGGGGTTTCGTTATTTATTTCATTAGAACCAGCTTCCTCTGCACTCCAAGCAGCACTAATTGCAAACAAGAACGCTGTGGATCATTACATAGTTATCAAGCACAAACACGAAAGGTAATGAGCAAAGTGTATTGCAGGTGTAAAAATAAGTGGTGGCTGGGGTTGGTCCTAGAGGTAAAAATACTAGCAGTTGTCTTTGGAACACATGGTTAAAAAATACCATCAGCAGTCATGGAGGTAATGGAGATGGCTCATCTGGGATTGTGAGTTCTGAGGGGTTTTTTGCAAGCTTGTGTTTTTTATTTCTTGGAGCAGGAGAAGGAAAAAACCTCCCAACAGTAAGTGCTTCCCCTACCAATGGGATCATGGGACTGCAGCGCCGAGTGCAGCGTGAGGGGGGGAGTGGGGGTCTGGTCCAGGGGAGACTTTGTTGCTGGAACCTTCTCCAGGAAACAGCAAAGTTCTCGCTCTCTGTGTGGAACACCCCAGTGCCTCCTGAATCAGATAGAGGGGAGATATTTGCCTATGCCCTTGCAAACTCATTTTAAAAGGGATTATGCAGAAACCTCCTGATCCTGCTGTGACTTTTGAAGTTCTCGTGTGCCATTAGGGACAGAGCTGCAGCCTCACGTTTCTTCCTCTGTTTGACTTGGTGGCTGCACGCACTCAGTGTTCCCAAGAGGCAGCTGTTTGGTCACAGTGTGAGCAGGAGAGGTGTCACAACCTGAGCCAGTAACAGGAGCTCAAAGGTAGAAATGGTCATCAGATGTCCAGGAAACCACCTGCCCTTCCAACTGAAAGCAGACAGGAAAGGCCAAGCAGTCTCTGATGGGCTTTGGGCACACACCAGGGATTCAGCACAATGCTATTTTGGTCAAAAATGCAGCTGGCAGCTTTGTGCTGGGTTCAGGCTGTTGGGCTCTGAAGTTGTTCTGCATATTCACTGTCGGTGATGTTCAATTGTTTGAAAAACACACACAAACCTGTTAAAGAGGTTATGCTTTGTTTTAGTTTGCCTTTCACATTGCTCTTTAATCTGCTGGAGGGGTTTTTATTACTGTTCACTTAAGGAATGATTCAGAGCATTGACTACATGAGCATTAAATCAAAGGTTGCCTCTCTCTAAACCTTATTTAAGCTGTTCAGATACGGATATGTAAGTGTGCAGCACCTCCCATGTTTCAGGGGAGTTGCTCCTCCCTTAATTGTTCTGGTTTCCCAAGAAGCTGAAATGTGATGCCCAGGCAATTGGCAATAAGGAAACGAACTGATATTTCCTGGTGAAAGGCAAAAGATAGGGCTTGTGAGCTTTGTGTGTTGTTCCTGCTCTGATAACTGCTCCGCTACACACCCGCCTCCTGATGGCCCCAGAAACTGCTGTTCAGTCTGTGGAAGAAGTACAGATGGGTGACTTCTGTGCTTCTGCTTGAGTGATACTCTGTCCTTAATACCAGCAGTTTAAGGCATAATCTACTTTTTTTTTTTTTTAATGTACAAGTGACAGAGGAGCCCCACAGGTCTGATTCTGTCTCCCCAAGTGATTTTAAGCATTTTGTTTCCCCGCGACATTGGTAGTGTGTGTCATTTCACTGTTCTTTGCTGTAATGGAGAATTGCTGAGATGGAGAATATCTGAAAGATATCTCAGATCCAGGAGATTGTGAGCTCCCTATGTCTTTAAGTTGGAAATCTCCTGTGCTGTCCTTTGGCGGTAGGGTTCAGCTGTGATAGAGAGTTGGTCATTCTGCTTGAGTAATGAAGGTGCTGGTGTTGATGGCAGCCTGATGCTCACTCCTGGTGAGCTGATGGCTCTTTGCTCAGTTCCTGCAGTCCCAACTGCCCGTCATGCTCAGTGCTCTCTGTACAAGCTGAGGTTTGGCTCTTTAGTGGAGTTTTCTGCAGTTTGAGTGAGATCCCACGTGGATGTGTGATTTCAGTTTTCCTTTGTTGATGAAAAATAAGCTACTTTATCGCAGTACGCATTTGGTTCACATCTATTTTTTTTTTACACAATAATACTCCACAGTGAAAAAACTGAGTTTGGAGACAGTCTTACAGAGGAAAATGATGTGAAAAGCTGAGTTAAGTTCTCGCAGGGAGGGACGTGATTTACAGCATCAAACAGCTGCACGTATACATCTGCAGACCTGGTGACTCAGTCATGTAGGAGCTGCTCCATGTGGGGTGAGGAGGAAATAAATGTCCCAGTGTACTCTTTGCAAGTGGTAGAAACAGCCATTCCACAGCACTCTTATATGGGAGTTCATAGTGAACCCAGTATTGTTTGGAGCTGAGTGGCAGCTCTGAATTGTTGTCCAGCTCTCACTGTTCTGACTGAGGCTGCCACAATGACTCTACTGCTGCCCTTGCCAACCAAGGATTACGGAGTCAGTGTTTCATTACACCTTCAGAGTGTGGGATGAGGCTGCTTTCCATTTGGCTCCTTGGGTGGTGTGCTGCTCATGCGCTCCAGTCACTGATCTGTTACATATAGGAGCTTGCTGGGCAAAGGCTCAAACTGAATCATGTCATCTGACCACAGTTACACCATTCTCAGGCAACTGAAGTGTACTCATGTGAGCCTTTGAACAAACATTATTCCGTATGCCTAACCAAATAGGTACAATAATGGTGTCTGGAGAACGCACTCATTGAAGTGCACGTACACTGTTTACGATGGCATTTGTTTCTCATCATATATAATTAGTGAAGGGAGCTCACGGCTTCCTGAAGCTGAAACAGGAAATACTGAGAGGAGTTTTGGCCAAGAGAAAGTCCTCATTTTTCTTATTTTTCTATCTGATGGAGCATTATGGCCTTACTAATCTCTTACACTTAGCCATCTCCAGACTTTTCCAACTTGCTCTGTATCATTGGCAATAACATTTGTTTGAAACACCAGCCGATGTGCAGCTGTTGGTGCTTCTGGGAAGGGGTTAAGCATGTTCTGCTGATTCACGGAGGTGGGTGACTCATTACCCACCCGGACAGAGGGGAAGTGGCTGTCTGGAGGGAGAGGATTCATACAATGTGTGCTCAGAAGGGGCCATTGTGAACATCCAGTTTGAGTGAAAAAACCGGAAAGGCTCTGCAGTTAAAATTTGGGATTATCAGCTCTGCATCCAGATGGGTTAAAGGCTGTCAGAGGGTCCAAGCCGTGCTGCTGGCTTGAGGAAGAAGCTTACACTGGAATTTGCTACACTGGTAAAGATGTGGCTGGGGTGCACTTGAAAGCAGTAGAGAAATGGCAGCAGCACTGCTCTTTTTGTAGCTTTTTGTAATACAGCAGATCCATGAATCACATTCCTGATGGCTGTTGTTCAGCTTTTAAAGCGGTGTCCGGCAAATCTCAGGCTTCCTTAAAGTGTGCTTTGACATCCGAGAGTACTTCCTTTAGGATGTTTGGGTTGTCATTTCATAGCACTTAAACTGAATTTATTAACAAATGCCAAAGGAAATGAATGAATCATTCAATACCTTTTTCACCCTAACGTTTCCCAGTCGTGCACCAGCTGCTAATTCGCACACAACTTCCTTTTTCCATATTGGCAGAATTCTGGTTTTTGCCCTTAATCTAGAACTGTTCTTGTTGCTATCTCCATGCTGGTAAGTCTCCTAAAAGTTCATTTTCATTGTTCATATTCTTTTTTTTTACTGCTATGAAGTCTTACTTTACAAGCAAGTAAGTACTTTACAAGCAAATAAATTGCATCAGTGCCCTGTCACAGGCCAGTCACTCTTTAAAGTACTTGTAACTTAGGCCCTGTATTTTCTGGTGACCAAATAAACTTATCCTGTTCACTCAGTATCTCTGCTATAGTTAGTCCTTGAATCAACTTCCAGGGGACCTGCACCTGTCCGTGACAACAAACAATAGTGAGATTTGATGCATTGTTCCTTGGTTCATGGACTTCCTGTGGGTATTTTGCTAAAAGCAGTGGGGTCAGGGCCACTGGTGCTGCCATCCCACAGTTCACCATTGCCTTGGGATTGCCTTTGATCTACCTTGCTCATTTCAGCTGCTAATGAAGTAACGGCCCTCTGCCAGGCTCAGGCTCTTATTTACAAAACCAATTTTCTCCATAAAGCAATAATAAAGAAAGAATTCTCCACTTTCTAATATAATTTGAGATGATGTAAATTTGAGAACAGTTATTCACTTCCTGCCACTTGACCCTGTGCTCTCCACATCCTGGGGAAAAAATAGAGGAATTCAGCCACAGATTAAAAAAAAATGAAGGCTTAGTTTGGGAGAGGGTGTGAGAGTCTCAAAACTGAGGTCAGCTGCAAAAAACGCTGGCAGGAAGAGACCTGGAGAAGCCAAAAATAATTCCTGTCAGCCTCCAGTGAAATCAAGGTGATCATAAGAACTAATGCAACCGTTACAGTTCTGTTTTTACCTCCAATTTTTGTAGCTTCAAGAAATTTGCGTTGTCAAAATTCAAAACTTGACTGGCATCTTGTTAAGCAGCAATGAATTTTGTGGCATAGCTAAGCCATTAAACTTAAACCCAAATATGCTCCTTTGTTAACTGGAAGTGACATACTCCATTAAAGAATAGATGCAGCTGTAAGGGATGGGTGAATGGTTCTGTCACTGTGGCTGCAATAAGTGCTGCTGCATTTGCTTCATGCTTGGAATTGTAAATACACAGACATAATGCAGTGGTATTTCTGCAAGTTACTTATGTAGCAGTACAATAGCCTGTAGCTCTCTTCCTTGTTGCTGAGAGGACTTACCTGTCCTAGCTGTTTAAAAGCTCTTTTGTAACACAGCGTCACAATGAGGAAGAATATCCATCCCTGGGACTCAGTCACTGTTTTTCAGAAATGGAGTTACCTGTTTTCATCTCTGACACTGGAAGAAATCCTTAGTCTGACAATAGTATCTATAGCTAACACTAGGAAAAATGATTTCTACCTTTGCTAAGTATCCTGTGCCTTTTGAAGGAGGGAAGAAAGAGAACCTCGCTGTTCTGCTTGCTTTCATGACCCTTTGCTATTTGCAAACTTGAACTGCCCCAGCTGGTTCTCTTCTCTTGGTGTTTTGTGCAATCTTTCCTCCAGTTTATTGCATGAGAATACCCACCCAGCTTAATAGTTCAATTGACAAAAACAGAACACTAGAAAATCCCTTTTGATCATAACAGTCCCTTATCTCTGAGCTGACAGGAAGTAATTTAGTGAAAAAAATATTAAATAATCACAAATAATTGCCTATGAAAACTATGTGTGGTTTTAAATGAAGTATATCTGAATAGTTGAACCATGATTATTATGTCTTCCTTTTGAGGAGGAATTCCTAAAACCGGAATTAAAGCAGCTGAGTGAAAAGAGAAGGCAAAATGAGCTGAGTTGTTGGATTGTGCACTGTGGTCTGTAAGAACAGTGTCAAAATGTGTTGTCATACACATCAAGCATCTTCTAATATGAAAAGTCACTTGAGTACATCTACCCCACTTGCTTTCTTTGTCTTCCATCCTGTATTTTTTTTTTTTTCTGAAGGCATTAGAGATTAACATTGCTTATCTTTACACTCTCACAAAATGTATCAGAACCCATTGTGGCATGCATTGAAACTACAGCCATGGCAGTGGCCAGCTGTTGCTGCTTCTGTATTTGAGCAATTGTGAACTTAGCACAAGACTTTCTCCAGAGTCAGTTGTGCAGTTGCTTGGATCGTGTCAGATTTGTTTGCCTTTCCAGATCTCGTGCTCCTGAGCTACTTTGAGAACAGCTGTTCCTGGATGGATTTTAGCGCTTCTGTTCCTGACCTGAACAAAAATGAAGAGGTAAATGAAACTAGGAAAGGAAGTAGAGATAAGAGTAATATACAGTGTCTGCTGGCCTCTAACTGAAGCCCAGCAGAATTACAAGAGCATTTCTGCATCTACTGCTGTGTTAAGTCACTGCAGATTTAAAATCTAGATTAGAATTTCTAACAGGGCAAGACTTCTATGCAGGCCAAGTTGCAAATGTCCTTAACATATTTACTGTTCTGCATGCTTGCTCATCTTTTAATTAAAAGCTCAGTGGCTTGGAGTGGAATAGCTCTGAGGCTTAAACTGTAACTGTGATACTTGTCCACTTCTCATAGGAAAAGTCCTTGAGATTGATCTGATTTTTTTTTTAATCTGAGTGGTTTTTGGTCACTTTTGCTCCTGTACCTGGCTGCTGTGTTTGCAGGCTGCAGCTTCACGGTGGCACCACCTTGTGGTCGTTATAACATTTGTCGGGAAAATAAAAAGCCTGCTTCTTAAATTTTGAAATTACATGATAAGATTACAGTGTTATCCATCTGTAACCTAACAGCAATTCTCCTCCCAAATCTCTTTAAGTACTAAAAAGTAGATTTAAAAAAGAACACCTGCTTGCTCTCCTAACACAGGAGGAAGAACAAGAGTTGCGGTTTTCCCTGTAAGTGTATGGAAAACATGGGATCCATTGTGATCTTTAATATAACTGCAGGATGCAAAGAAAATGAAGACCCCCATTCACAGGTGTTTTTTTTTTTTTTTCTTTCTTCCCAGATGGTTCAGAACTTCCAGTGTTTTGTCAAAGCTATAAGCCTTGAAGTAGAATTTAAGCTTTACTTCGCTTTAAAGCACCATGTGGCAGACTGTTGTCTCTTGAACGATACCCAAATGGAGTTTGGCTTAATAATTCTGATAGTGTGTGTTTTTATCAGTATTAAAGCATTCCAGGGCAAAGTGATAGCATGAAAAATTGGAACTGGAGAAGCTGGAATGCCTAGAGAAAAGCCCTTCTGTATAGAAATTCTTTATTAAAAATATGCAAGTTCTGAAAATGACATTCAAAGATTAAGCTACAGCAGATATCAGCTGTATTGGAAAACAGCTACTATATCTGTTAAATAAGAATAATATCTGTGCATATAAACATACTCAGTTCTCATCCAGTTTGATTCTAATACATGCCTTGCTCACAAGATTAACAAATAGTTGTAGTCCAGTAATTTATATATTTGATAGTTGATGGAAGGTCTTCCAGTGCTGGGTTCTTTCAGGAAGAAACCATTTCAAAAATCAAAGGTTGGTGTAACTGGAGATAACTTGTTCCAGAGCTGTGAAACTGTCCAAGAAATCCTCCTCTTCAATTCCAAACTTAGTGTACTGGTGAACGTAGGCTCTGTGTGTCAAAGTCACAGTACAAAAACAGACAAGATGTTAGAAATCTGTGAAGAATCTGACACATTCAATTAGACTGTATAGTTGCTGTAACAAATCCAAATGGATTTTGGTGGTTAGGTTTTACCTTTCTCTCTTGAACTCATTTTGTAATTTGTACTTACTGATAAATCATGACTTTTTTCTAATAGCATTTATTACTTTGTATATTGCTTAATGAGACAGAATTGTATCTAACAAAATCAGTCAACTGGGAAACAGAAGGAGCTATGATGATTGAATGAAAAAAGTGATTTATAAAGTTGAGATGCAGAGCCTAAACCCGTGTGTACAGGATAGCTTGCTTCCCATCACTGCTGTTTTTGCAGCAGGTGGAACAAAATAGGAACACTGCTAGTAGATGCAGTATTTCTCCTTTGACTTTTAATCACCGAATTCCTGTTTATCAGGTGTCTGCTGTGACACTCAGTTACCTTGGGTTCATGGTGACCAAGTAAAGAGGCAGTCATTTTCTATCCCCTCAGTGGTTTTGAACTGAGCCAGGAACTTGTTTCCTGGAATGTGAAGAATGTCTGCATATAATTTAGAAACTGTGTGATCAGTAAAAGAGTTTGTATGTATTATTTGTAGAATGGGCAATCTGGAATGCACTAAATTTAGGGAGCCAAATTGATAGCCCTAGAATATGTGGTATTGCTAATCCACAGGAAACACGCACTGTTCTGTGCAAGGTAAGCACCCTGCCATCATGTTTGAAGTAAAAAAAAATGTTTCTGCTGAAGTGTGGGAACAGTATTCAAGCTCATTCAGCATTACTTTGCTGAAAAAGACCTTTCTCTGCAATGATTTTGCTACCATTGAAGATAATGTCAGCTATAAAGGAAATGAACAGAATTATTTTCACTTACTTGGAAGCAAACATATTCCAAGCTTTTCCTACAACATTGTCAAGAGGTTTCAGCAGGAACTGGCTATTGCTAACCAGAGAAGCAGACTTTTCATACTTATTAAATGCTCTTGGGGTTTTCCACTCATTAAAAGCATCCTGAGGATTTAGCCATGATGTATATAATGAGGGATCTCGGAAACTTCCTGCAGCAGAAATAAGATAAACGTGGATATTTTGGTAAATGTAAAGCTACAAGGACTTGCATCTTGATCTCATTACTCCCATCTGACCTAATCAGCGCTCGGTGGATCAGTTCAGCCCTTGAGAAAAGTCTGCTGGTCAGCTTCAAGTGTACTGAATGTTTGAAACGGTTATACTACCCAGGAATGTACTCTGCTGTCAGTACTTCATGTATGAGGTATGCTTGTCATTCCAGAAGCAGCAAAATATATTTTCAGACAATATTGCTAAGAATTCTACTGTATATATATAGACTTCAGTCTCTTTGTCCTTCCCTACAACTCTTCAGGTAATATAGAAGCCTTAGCTGTAAATACTACAGTCCTAACTAATTACACATGGCCTTGCACATTAAAATCTTTCTAGAGGGAATACTGACTTTATTAGTCAAATACGTGACCTTGTTTTATTTTCACTTTCACGCAAAGAAAACAGTTGAGATGTGAAACAAAAGGCTGAGATGTTGTGCCCTTCCTTCTCACCTAAGTCTACACTGTGTGTATCTTTTCCTCGCAGGATGACCAGGTTGGCAATGGAAGTATTGAAATGCAGCAGCTTCTTTGTGGAGTGACTGGAGGAGATAGAGGAGCCTGGGCATGGTGGCCGTACTTGCCAATCAATACCTGCAAGATTTTTGCAAACAAGTTATAAAACAAAGTTAATGTTTCATGAAATATGGATTCAGACCAACTCTGTGCCCCAAGCTGAGATCATACTAGGGTTTGTAGTTTCTGTATGTCTGCTAAGCAGCAATTACACAATTCTCAGAGGAAAACCGAGCTTGGCCAGCAGTGTTTTCCTGGTAGCCACTAATCTTACCAGAGAAACGGATACTTTTTTCTATAGTTAGCAGTCTGCCAGCCCATTCTTTGCATAAGTGGAAGCTTTGCTGAATTCTCAATGTAAATGATACGGGAAAGCTAAGCATATGATTTTTATTAGTAGGTATAACAAGAAAAAGCATAGCAAAACAAATGATTCAAAGAATGTTCCAAATGAATCATGTAAATTAAGTGCATGATCAAAAACTGTTGTTTTGCATATTTTCAATAGTTATAATTAACTGAGATGTCTGGGAGCAAAAACATGAGCAAGCCAGGAGTGGCAGCTGAATGAGTAGTGCAGAAGCAGCTGGCTATGTGGAGACAAATTCCTGCTGTCTGAGGGCAGCAGCTTGCTTCTGAAAGGAGTGACTGAAATCAGTGAGCCCCACAAAACAGTAAGCTTTATTTCAGTGTAAAGATGTATTCTTAAAGAGCGATGGCTGAGTGAACGCTTCTTACCTTCCTCCATTTTAGCATTAGCAATGAGCATTTGCCTCAGATGTTTGAGGAGTCCAGGCCAACTGAACGTGCTATATGCAAGGCAGTTTTCAGGCATCTGAGGTATGTTACGGAGACCCAACATCTTGAATTCAGGATGTGGAACTAAAGTTTCCATTAAGTCTCCTTAAAAAAAAAAAAAGAAATAACAGCTGCTCATGTTTGGCAAAATAGGCTAGTTAAAAAAGAAGAGCATGAGGATTTTACAAAGATAGTAACTGAAGGTAAGAAAGCAGAATATGTAAAGTTTAAATTTAACAAATATACAGACGCATCTGACCAAATGCAAAGATTACAACCTACCACTGAGTTTTATACAGGCAAGTTAGCAGCTCTTATTTGACAATTTAGACCTGCCCTCCTTTTAGTCTGGCTCAGAATCTTAAAGACCTTCTATGCTTCTGAAGAGGTGGAAAGGAAAATGAGAGCTTAATTTTACAAGCAGCATCTTGGCAAGCCAGTTGCTTGCTGCTACCAAGTTGCATGTTAGTGTGTTTTCTGAGCTGAACACAAAACTAGCCTTTTGTTTGTACAAACTTCTAACGTAAAATGTTAAAACTCAGTCTAAAATTAGTGCCCTGCAGAAATTTCCTCTGAAAGGTAAATGAGTACAGGAGTCATTTGAAAAAGGAGAAACATGAGTCTTCTGGTAAAGAAGGAAACGAGAAGCTGGTTATCTATTTTTGACTCTGCTACAAAATTAGAGTTGAATTACTAACTTAGTCTTTCGCTTCCCTATCTATTTTTACTATCGTAAGCCTTGGGTTATATCCAAGTAGTTGAGTAAAAGAGACTGAAGAACTTAAATTCCCAAAATGAAATGATTACAGAAAGATGTGTAAGAATGCCTTAAGTATCTACATTGCAGTTAGGTACCTAAAGGGTTTCTGCTGTAGTGAAATCCAGCTTCTGCTGTGTGAGCAGGCTGGAAAACACTCCCCAGTTGATGTGCAATGACTTGATTTACATCCCTGAAGGAGATCTGTTTAATGTGCATCAGCTGAGCACAGATCTTGTGGATGACATCATTTTCATGAACAAGAAGAGCATCTGATGACTGATACAGATGTGACAGAGTCAAAACAGAGTTGTAGTTTTGAACAATGACCTGGAAAAAGAAAAAAAAAAACCACAACACCAAATGAGAGTCAAACAACTTGATCTCTTTCTATAGTTTAATATATTCCTCTGGCTACTGTCATTTACTCAGTTGTAGTTAAGGAAGTGATTCATCTTTGTCAAAGTGCAGAATAAGGTCACAGCTTTTTCATGGAAATGGAGCAAGACCTATGAAAATCACGTTAACTCATCTCAGTTCAGAATGAAACTTGTCTGGGAACTGATTACCATGCTCAGATACTGTCATAACAGAAGATTTCTAGATAGCTAGTAGAGCTTCTCATGAAACTGCATTATACCACAGTGCTTTTATAAGTAAATTTTAAGTGTTTTCTTACAAGCCTGAGATATCCACGATTTTTTTATTTGATTGATGATAATTTATTTATTTTTTTTTTAAATGAAACTACATTAAACTACCAAATATGAGGCAAACAAATTGTTTTGTGTCATGTGGAACTTTCAAAGAATGAAGTGTTTCTCTTCTAGTTTATTTCAGTTGCATCTACTCTGTTTTACTCATGAAAAGCAAGCAGTTTATTTAGGTTTCCGTTCCTCTGTGATCACAATTATAATCTTGCAAAATATCTCTGGGAAAAATGACATTCACCTCACCAGTGCCATAGGGCCAGATAACGTGGTTTAGTATAAACGAGCTTGGAAAAGCATCTCTTAAACACTGAGTCACAAATGCTCCGAGGCCAGAACCTGTACCACCAGCCATGCTCATTATTGTGAAAAATCCACTGAGTCGGTCACACTTCTCTACTTCTTTTTGCACTAGATTCATGATTACTTCTTTGTTTCTAGGCCCGTGAACAGAGTAACTGTAGAATAAAGGGAAAAAAAAAAGGCAGGTGATATAAAGGCAGAAAGGTCAGCCTATTCGTAAAGGGTACTTTTCTTTGTATTAACCTGGCACTGTGTCACTCATTCTACTTGTAGTAAATAATCCTCAGCTGTGGCATTTATTTTGCAAAAGAGCTGTTTATAAATTGAACTTATTGTTAACCCATTGTTAAACATATTCTAAGCCATTACATTTTCCCTGTAAATACCAATTTCATTTTGCAAAAAGCAGTGTAGAAACGTTGCTGCTGTATGTACTGTTTCTCTACCTTAAGTCATTAAACAATGTTTCTCACGCAGCTGCAACAGTATCACTCTTAGCGAGCACAGACAGCTCATTATCCCCTACAGTTCCCCTAGCGAAGCTGGAAATGATTCCTACCCATTTGCCCAGTTGTTCCCAGACCCTTGTTTCTGACAGAAGTGCGACTGATCATCGTATTTCCAGTGGCCAGACCGGGCAGCTATCGATAAAGTTTGGCTGATTACTTTAGGTTCCATGTCAACAAGCACAGCCCGGGCAACAGGTACTGTATGGGGAAGAGAAACAAAACTAAGTGCCAACATCACAACTTGTTTATATGAGATACCGACTTGCATCATGGCCCAAGTTGTATTCCTTCCACCCACATAAGCCCAACTAGAACAGAAAACAGGATGCAGCAGTGTCCTGGATTTCAAGAGAACCACTGATAGTACTAAAGATAGATCTGAATAACAGGGACATGGATCTTTTGGGAAAGAAATGTCTTAATTTGCTTGTTAACACTAGATTCAAATAGTCTAGACCCTACTCCATGGCATTATCTGCCTACAATGGGAAACGTGGATATTTGGAAGGGAAGATTGTTTATGCATACATGTCCCATTTCCAGCTGTGCTACTGGCAGACACGATACATGGCCTCAGGCATTCTACCAGTTTTGATTTTGCTTCTATAGTTGTAAGCAACGTCAGGAAGGCATAAAGCTGGGACAGTTCTTCCAGACTGAAGGTAGAACTTGGATGCTGTCAGTACCAGACCTTCTGTGGGACACAAAACACCAAAATGCTGTACCTCCAGACTCTGCCTCGCTGAAAAACCGTTCTGTACAAGCATGGTGGTAGGCTTCATTCTCCTTCTTGGAACACAACCCGTGTGTGCCACGGACATCGGCACAGATGGTGTTAAACACCTCATGACCAATTTGGTTACCACACTGGCCAAGCTGGACTGCAACTATTGACATTCTAATTCACCTCGTGTTTAGCCCTAAAAAAGAAAAAAAAAAGAAAATCATGCCTTTGGTGGGAAAAAAAAAAAAAAAGAAAAACCCACCATATTAAAAAGGTTCTGACAAGCAGAATTCTGATCACTTTTGTAATTTTTTACAACCTCTAACGAGGAGGGAAAGGCTGCAGTACAACCAGCGGCTATTTCTGGTGAAATATCGACCGTCAGCACACCAACCCGAACGTCAAAGAACGCAGATGGCAGGTTAGAGACAATCCTCTGCATGCAGACCGCTCCCGCCCCCGGGCTGCCGCACGTCCCTCACAGCTCCGCGCCGCCGATTTCCCGCCCGCTCCCCGCCGGCGCCATGTTCTGGGACCGCCCCTACCGCCTCTCCCCTCCTAGCTGAGGAGAGACGCCCACCTCTCCTCGCCCGTCCCTCCCGCCCGGATCTCTCCTCAGGTCGATGCCGGCTCAGGAGGGGCGGGGTCCACGCCGCAGCCCCTCCTCAGGGCTGACCTCGCAGAACCGCTCAACCATCAGCAGCGCACGCGCACCCGCGCGCCTCAGCGAGCCCCCCTCAGCTGTGCGCATGCTCAGAGGGAACTTCGGGTAGTTCGGGCACAAGCGGCGGGCTTCGGGGCTTCACAGAGGGCAATACGCACGCACTGAGCGAACGGCTTCGCCGCACCATCTACGCAAGCTCCATGCCAGGAGCGAGGGAGGTGGGCGCGTATCGCGCATGCTCAGCTTCAGCTCTACGCCCGCCGCCCGGACGAGGCCCTCGCCGCGCATGCTCAGTGCGGCCCCGGTAGCCGCAGGATGGGTTTGTGCGCCTGCGCGGCGCCCGCAGCCGGGGCGGGGGCGCATGCGCGGTGAGGCCGGGCAGCCGTGATGGCGGCCGTGGCGGAGTTGGGGGGTGCGGGCCCATGAGGCGGCCCAGGCCTCGGGCACTCAGCGCAGCGAGGAAGGGGCGGCGACGCCTCGGTTCACACCCGCGCCATGGCGGGCGTGTTCGACATCGATCTGGACCAGCCCGAGGACGCGGGTTCGGATGAGGAGCTGGAGGAGGGGGTGAGAACGGAGAGTCTTAGCGGCGCGGGGAGCGGGCGGGCAGGGAGGCCGCCGGGAGGAGCGGAGCACGGGGGAGGCGTGAGGGGGGCGGTGGCGGAGCAGCTGAGACGAGGCGAGACGAGGTGGAGGCCCGGGCCCATGCAGGTGAGGCCGCGCCCTGCCCAGGGAGCCTCGGCCCCGATCGGGGCCTCCGCCGCACAGCGCGGCGCCGGCGGTCGCGTTCAGGCGGAGCGTTTCTCCCTGATGTGTTGGCGGTGGGTTTTGTAGCACGAGCGTGGCGGCGGGGTTTGGTGTCACATGTGGGGACGTCAGTGCGGGAGTGCTCGTCTGTCTGGCACTGTATAAAAGGATCGCTCTGGCGCCAGAATCAAAAGCAAAGCTTTGAAATGCTGCGCGGATCAACGCGTGTGCCCATCTCACACCTCCCCGGATGGGCCGCTTGGTGATCTGTAGTTTGTTTTTTTGTAACGTTCATTTACATGCTGTTAAGGCCTTTGGGTATCTTGTTACAAGGTCGCTGTTAGTATCTCTAGTGCTGATGTTGCTTTTATGTGTTGTTTTATGTGTTCAGCCGGGAGAAAAGAAGACTTTGGGGTGACCTCATTGCAGCCTTTCAGTACCTAAAGGGAGCCTACAGCAGGAGGGGAGTCAACTCTTGGAAAGGGTTGATAACTGCAGGACAAGGGGAAATGGTTTGAATTTGAGGGAGGGAAGATTTATGTTGGATGTCAGGGGTAAGTTCTTTACAGAGAGAGTGGTGAGGTGCTGGAACAGCTGCCCAGAGAGGCTGCATATGCCCCATCCATCCCTAGAGTTGTTCAAGGCCAGGTTGGATGGGGCCCTGGGCAGCCTGGCCTAGTTTTAAATGTGGAGGTTGCTGGCCCTGCATGTGGCAGGGGGTTGGATATTCATGAAGGTCCCTTCCAACCCGGGCCATTTTGTGATATTAAATGTTTGCTACTGCTTAAACTGCTGCTGCTGCATTTGTGCTGTGCTGTTTGAATGCCAACTGGAGGCCTTGGGATTAGCAGACACTCCAAAGCACAGCTGGAATACCCACGCTGCATGTGAACTGCAGAGATGTGGTCTGACAGCTGAAGGCACGGCAGTTCTCAGGTTGCAGGAGAAGCGTTGTCTGCCACCCCAATAATCAATACAGGTTCTGGTTTACAAGCATCAGCTGTGTCACAGTGCCTGCATTGCCAAGAACAGGTTCTAATGGGTGGCACAGAAAATACTTGTGGGCCAGCTTCTGTGAATACAATTGCACAATGGCAACCTAATGCAGTACTTGGGTGCCTTTTGGGAGATTAGGATGGAATAGAAGTTAAAACAGAACTGGGGAGTGGGGAATATGTGAGCATCAGAAAAGTGTGTGTAAGGGAAAGGTGTTTTTTGTAGTGATTGTGCGTCTGTCTGAGATCTGAAGGACACTGATGTTCTTCTGGGAATGTGGTGGGCATTTATTCTGTTTGTTGAGTTGGAGGCTGTTTTGAACTTGTTCGTTTTTGTTTAATGGTAGGGTCAAGGGCACATTTAGCAGGTTCTGTTGTGAAACAGATGTCAGGGGGCTGGATTTCCCAAATAAATGTTAGCAAGGAGATGTGAGCAAGCAAACCTCTATCCTGGAATGAGACTTGAACTTCAGGACTCCGTGATTGGCTGTGCATTCCAAGCTATAGATTCAAGGCTGTTCCTCGCTAACTTGCAGTTGCTGTTTTATGTATATATTTTTAAAACTGAAAATATAACCTGTCATAGTCTGAAGTTTGTTAGAAGCTTGCCTGTTAAATTCTATTTGTATTCCTTCCAGCTGTCTGCTTGCTTTGCACTTTTTCTGCCATGCAGAGCCGCATTTAGAGAGAAGTATTATCTTGCATAAGAGGTCAAGTTGAAAATTGTTTGAAGAAAATATGTCTTCAGAATTGAACTACATTCTTTAATGGCGTCTGGTCCTGGTGTTGAAGTGCTCAAGCCTTTTTAGAAATATTTGTGTGTTAATCTGTCTGAATGATTGTTCAGAAAAAGCATGCAGGACCAGAGTAAAGCTTAACTGTGTTATTACTACTGGGATATGATTACCACCAGACCTCCTGTATCAGAATTTAAGATATGTGGAAGCGTTGCAACACTTGCACTGGATTTTGGAGCCTTGTTATCTTCTGCTCATAATTTACTATTCTTGACGCTTGTTTAATTATAGATACATAAACATACATGTGTGTGCATATATAACAAAAACTATATGTGTAAATGTATCCATACATGTGAAAAAGCTGTAAAAGAGATCAGTACATTTATTTTTTACTATGCTTTATTTCTTATGTTGCAATTAATCCTTCTACTCCTCCTGTTCCCAGGGTCAGTTAAGTGAGAGCATGGACCATGGAGGAGTTGGCCAATATGACCTGTAAGTTGCTGCTAAGAAAATGTTCATGCCAACTACATATAGTCTCTACTTTTGTTACATTGTTAAGTTGAATAGAAAATTTTGTCATTCTTGTTCAATTTGAGTTGTTTTAGTTCTTTTGCTATTTCTTCACATTAAAATTTGTGACTGTATCTCAAAATAATAATAAAACAAATTCTGGCAAAACCTGCTGTTGTCTTTAATCCTTGTTTCTCCTAACATAGCTATTGTATTGTATTTGAATAATGCTTGCAGTATGAGTGTAGTGCCCTCTTTGCAGAACATTCTATGTTCTGTCAGGTTTACAGAGGCTCTGTCTGCATATTTGCATAGCAGTCTGAAGCAGATGGGAATTCAGTTCTGATTTGATTTCATGAGACAGCTCCCTTTAGCTGTGCTTCATGTATAGATACCCAGCTTGTTTTCAGCGTGCCACATGTAACAAGAAAGCAGCAATAGTTCAAACAGTTCAGTTACCTTTTCTGTAGCAGGGTAAGGTGTTGGCCTCACCCTTCTTTTACAGAAGCCTGGTGTAATTTAGAAACATCCTGAAGCTGTGGATCAGTCTTCTTCTGTGGCACGTTCAGAGTTGTGACTTCTTTTGTTCCAGCTTTTTCTGCACAGTATTTGTTACAGAAGTTGTATTGTGACTGTGGGGACTGCTGGATGTGATTTAAAACTTAAACACACCTTACAGCATTGTAATCTTGTCCAAGTCAGTTTGAGTTGTTGGTCCTTCAAACTTAATTCTGGTACAATACAGAAATATATTACGCATTAAAATGAAGGCATCTGAAGGAAATCTTGATACAGGCAGATTGTCTTTTGTGCAAGCTGAAACGTAGAGCTTTGCACACACATAACTACAGTTGGTGATGCTAAGAATTCTCCTTATCTCCAAAGCAGTCATTCAGACATGTCAGTTTTAGTGTAAGTTTTGCCGTAAGTAGTTTGCTTGCTTACTTTCTCTTGGTCGTTGTCAAGTCTCAGGTAGTCTTATATTCTTGTTTCGGTTTTATCCAGCGGCATGGAACATTGTGAAAAATTTGAGATTTCAGAAACTAGTGTAAACAGAGGTCCAGAAAAGATCCGACCGGAGTGCTTTGAGTTACTGCGCGTACTGGGCAAAGGTGGCTATGGAAAGGTAAGGGACCCTTTTCTATAAAAGTAAACCCATTATGCTGAAGGCAGTCAAAGTGCTCGCTTGCCACACGTGGGAAGGTCTAATCTTTCCATCCCGTGTTCTGAGCAGTTCCTCCTCTGCAGTTCATAATGAATCATTGTTTTTGTATTGGTGTTGTGTAGGTATTTCAAGTGCGAAAAGTAACTGGAGCAAATACCGGGAAAATTTTTGCCATGAAAGTTCTTAAAAAGGTAATATGGATGTTCAAATCGTGCTACTACCTAAAAGCAAATTAACCCATCAGCTGTTAGAATTATGTAATTATTTAATATACTTGACACTGATATTTGCCCTTGTTATATACAGTTATTAACATGGTACACTGGAATTTATCACGAATCTTTAAGTCATTCTTCCTGCAAAGTTCTTAGTGGATAATTTAAATATCTCAGGATCTCTTCTGATCTAAGTTACTCTATGACATAAATAAAAGAATTAAACTTTGGCAAGAAACCTATTATGTACATATAATGGGGATTTAAAAGAATTGTTATGTTGCTCACTGGTAGCATTGTGATTTGACTCAAAATAAACTCAGGGGGAGTTAAATGTAAAAGTCTGCAATTTACCATTTCCTTATGCTCACGTTTCTGCTGTTTGCAGGCAATGATTGTAAGGAATGCAAAAGATACAGCGCATACAAAAGCAGAGAGGAATATACTGGAGGAAGTGAAACATCCCTTCATCGTAGACTTAAT